CAGAACTATAACATAGTTTTTATATATCTTTAGCTAACAATTTTAACTTAAACTTTCACATAACTTGAACTGAAAATTATCATAAATTTAACTTGGCTTAAATTTAACTTTATTATAGCTCTAATTTAACTTTAACATATCATTAGCTAAACTTTAAATAAACCAATAACTAATAATACATCAAATTTACTTTTTTTTACTTAGCTTCAACTAAAACTGAACTTCAACTTAAAATTATCATTACTTTTAATTAGCTTTATCATACCTTTCACTTCACTTTAACTAAATTTTGAATTAATTTTTATCGTAACGTTCACTATTCAGTATTAATCCCGATTCCAAAAATAACAATTTTGATGGGTGTTTGAAAGTTTTCCCAAATTTTCTGAAACTGAAAGCCATCATATTGGATTTCAAAATGGTGTCAGATATCAATTTGTGCCTTCTATTCGGGGTGACAAAAATATCCATAGTGATGGGACAGTATTTTATTTTTTTTCTGAAACTGGAAGCCGCCATTTTTATTTCAAAATGGAGTCGGACATCGATTTACGGCCTCAAAACGTCACCCTGATTCCAAAAATATCCATATTGATGGGAGTTCGGCAGTATTTTCCACTTTTTATAAAACAGAAGCCGCCATCTTTGATTTTGATTTTTGGCCTCTATTCGTAACCCAAATTCCAAAAGTACCCATATTTATGGACTTTTGAAATTATTTTTCTGAAACTGGAAGCCGCCACATTTGATTTCAAAATGGCATCGAATATCGATTTTCTCTAGACGACAACCTGATTCCAAAAATTCCCATATTGATTGATATTTGATAGTAATTCCCACTTTTTCTGAAACCTCAAGCCACCTTTTTTAGGCTCTCGGAATTCAAAATGGCGTCGGATACCTATTTCCAATCTCTAGACGTCACCCGATCCCAAAAATATCCATTTTATAGATAATTGACAGTAATCCCAATTTTTCTTAAACCAGAAGCCGCCATCTTTGATTTCAAAATCTCATCGGATATTGATTAGCGGCCTCTAGTCATTAACCCAATTCTAAAAATACCCATATATATGGATATTTGACAGTATTTCCCACTTTTTTCTGAAACAGGAATCTTCCACCTTGGATTTCAAAATAGCGTCGGATATCGATTTCCTATCTCTACACGTCACCCCGATTCCAAAAATACTTATATCGATGAGTATATGACAATATATCCCATTTTTTCTGAAACCGGAAGAGGCCATATTTGATTTAAAAATGGCGTCGGATATCGATTTCCAGTTGATTATAGATTGTAGATTGTAGTAGAGTTGGAAACTTGATCATGTAAACACTACGCATCATTGTCTGGTAGTTCGTTAAAAAATGCTACAACAATCGTCAAGCTCGCTGTAACGTCACCTAGTGCCTCGTCATCCACGAATTGGCGCCTATATCAGTAGTCTAATAACTCTTAGCGCGCTGATGGCATGGTTCCAATGCCGCATAGAGAGTTGCTACAATGATATTAGGTTAGCTAAGGTCAGTTAACTGACTGGTGGGGAACGGGAGCTTTAGCAATGACTATTATGTATGCATTTCTAAAACGTTATCTAACAACAATGGTGTATACTGTTTACAAAATCATGTTTGTAATTCTTATGTGTGGTATGGTTGAAAACATTTGAAAAATTTAGATTCAAATTTTTTGCACATTAGAAAACATCCGAAAACAATAAGTTCTTAGTACAATTGAAAACACCCGAAAATCGTTTTCTTTTAATGTCTTGTACATTTGACAACATCAGTAAGCATCTACATTTGAAAACACATGAAGAACGTTAAATTTTAACGTTTTGTATATCTAAAACTATCTCAAAAACGTTTGGTTCTGATGACAAACGTTTAAAATTCTCCACGTCAGAACAACATTTGAATAGCAAAATTTTATTTCACGTTACCTTGTATAAATACATCTAAATCGCAATGTTGTTCAATGTTTAATGCCAGAAATATATTTTATTTCTATGCTGATGTAGACATCAAACGTTAGGCTAATGTAAATTTGTATTCGGGTTCCACCGGGACACCCGGAATATGTCTGGATGTGGCCAAAGTGGTTCTTGGAACTAGATTTGAGTTCCATTGAACCAGAAATTGAATTCTCATGTATTTTGATGTGTCGCATGATGAGTTTGATCCTAATCAGATGTTGGTGTCTTCCCCCGGGATACCCGGAATATGTCCGGGTGTGGCCACTTTGGTTCTAGGAACTAAATTTGAGTTATATTGAACCAGAAATTGAATTCTCATGTAATTTGATGTGTCGCATGATGGGTTGGACCCTAATCAGATGTTAGCCTCTTCCCCCGGGACACCCGGAATATTTCCGGATGTGGCCAAAGTTGTTCTTGGAACTTTATTTGAGTTCCATTGAACCAGTTGTTGAATTTTTATGTAATTCGATGTGTTGCATTATGGGTTTGACCCTAATCATATGTTAGGCTCTTCCCCCGGGACACCCGGAATATGTACGGATGTGCCCAAAGTGGTTCTAGGAACTAGATTTGAGTTCCATTGAACCAGAAATTAAATTTTCATGTATTTTGATGTGTCGCATGATTGGTTTGATCCTAATCAGATGTTGGCCTCGTCCCCCGGGATACCCGGAATATGTCCGGATGTGGCCAAAATGGTTCTTGGAACTAGATTTGAGTTCCATTGAACCAGAAATTGAATTCTGATGTATTTTGATGTGTCGCATGATGGGTTTGATTAGATCAGATGTTGGCCTCTTCCCCCGGGATACCCGGAATATGTCCGGATGTGGCCAAAGTGGTTCTTAGAACTAGATTTGAGTTCCATTGAACCAGTCGTTGAATTCTCATGTAATTTGATGTGTCGCATGATGGGTTTGACCCTACTCAGAGGTTGGCCTCTACCACCGGGACACCCGGAATATGTCCGGATATGGCCACTTTGGTTCTAGGAACTAGATTTGAGTTTCATTGAACCAGAAATTGAATTCACATATATTTTGATGTGTCGCATGATGGGTTTGAACCTAATCAGATGTTGGCCTCTTCCCCCGGGACACCCGGAATATGTCCGGATGTGGCCAAAGTGGTTCTAGAAACTAAATTTGAGTTCCATTGAACCAGTCGTTGAATTCTCATGTAATTTGATGTGTCGCATGATGGGTTTGACCCTAATCAAATGTTGGCCTCTTCCCCCGGGATACCCGGAATGTGTCCGGATGAGGGTAAAGTGGTTCTTGGAACTAAATTTGAGTTCCATTGAACCATAAATTGAATTCTCATGTAATTTGATGTGTTGCATGATGCGGTTGACTTAGCTTGTAAGATATTATTGTTAGGTTAAGATCTATTTAATAAAAAAAAAACATATGTTAGTTATAAGAAAATGAAAAATAAAATTTATTGATGAAGTCATGTTTATGCTTCAACTGTTTTCATTTTTATTAATTTAAAACCCATTGAAAAAGAAAATGGTGGTGAACAATCGGGAGCGCGCCGGGGCGCCTGGGGGCGGACAAAATGGCCGAAACGATCAGTTTTTTGACAGGTATCGTTTTCGCCTCAGGCGCCCAAATGTTGCAAATATGGTCGCCCCCGGCGCGCCGGCGACCAAATTTGCACCAAGCGGCGCCGCGAAGTTCGAGTCGCCCAAGTCCGCCCCGTCCGCCGAGCGGTCCGGGGGCGAGCCGTGGGCGACTAGCCCGCTGTATGTGGGTAACGGCGACTTCCCAACTTAAAAATCCTCTTTGACAACATGATGGCGCTAGCGTTGCAAAACTTACACTAGACACTAAGTTCTGGTAGCGCCAAGTGGCAATTTTCAACAGATAATTTATCGATACTTGCGCCAAATGGGTCGAAAGTGATAAATTTATAGAGGAAATCAGAAGATACTAGCGCTACGTAACGGCGACGTTTCCACTTTACTTTACACAAGTTTCTGGCCGAACTTGAACGTCTGTTCTCTGTGGTAAAGGAGGAATCCCGCAGGAAACAACAGCAGCAGGGGAATGGTCAGTTGGAGGCATTTGTCAGTATGTTGGTTTTGCAGCTTAATTTGAAAGACGAATGAGAGCGTCGATATGGATTTATAAATATATATAATAGTGATTTAAAATTTTAATTTTGATATTCAGTACAATAAAAAAATTGACAAATGATATTTTAATGTTGAAAATGCTTTTATTTAAATGATTTTTTTATATATTTAAAACAAAGTAGCACATAAGTCAATATAAGAAGCTTTTATGTTGAAAGTTTCGTTTGAATATACACACTTAATCTAGCTCGGTAAAATCTCCAACAGCCGATTACCTCGGCATTTATTTTTGCTGATATATCTGCAAAATATCTGTTTGTTAGCTGATATCTGTGCAAAATGATATTTGTTAGCTGAGTCTCGGCAATTGTTTTACTGAATCTCAGCAAAATAAATTGCAGAACTACTCGGCTGTTGGAATCTCGGCGAAAAAATTTAAGTGTGTAAAAAATACACTATTAAATTTAACACTGTCAAGCTCTTGACTTGAAAGTTCTACAATTTATTTTGAAATTTTCAACTTTTAAAAGTAGGGGACATGCAACTTTTGAACTGACAATAGGCTGACTTTTGATTTGAACGCTTACGACTTTCTACCAAAAAGAACCAATGCAAACTTTTAATTTTACCCATGGACTAAGAGTGAACACTAGACACTCAGTGCTGGTTGCGCTGAGTGGCAATTTTCAACCGAAAGTTTATCAATATATCGACTAGAGATCAAAAGTGGCAAATTTATACATGAAATCAGGAAATGCTAGCGCTACGTACCGGTGATATATTCACTGTTGAAGTTGGGTGATTTTTCTGTGATAAATTGATAAATAAAAATGCTACGAGATGTCGCTCTCATTGTCCTGGAGATGTGAATCGGTGCATCGACGCGGTTTTCATGACTGTCAATGTCAAATTTCGTTTCTTCAAAAGAATTCGCAAGTACATCAGACATCAATATTACGTGGCGTTGTATTTGACAAAGTTTAATTTCTTAAATTAATAATTAGAATATAGTCGAAATGAACAAGTTAAATTCTTGTGTTTTCCTTATTGTATTGATAAATTGTCTGAACTTCAGTCATGGCTATTTCATAACCGTAGATGCCCATTCGGAAGAATGTTTTTTCGATAGAGCAGAATCTGGCACCAAACTGGGTAGGTTTATATAGTGCAAGATTGTCCTCGAAAAAGCTTCAAAAAATGTTATGTTCCTTTATCTATAGGATTGATGTTTGAGACTGTCGAAGGGGGTTTCCTGGATATAGAAGTCCGTATCGTTGGCCCAGATCAAAAAGTAATATACCAAGGTGAAAAGGAATCATCCGGAAAATATACTTTCTCCGCCTACGAAACCGGCATATATCACTACTGCTTCAGCAATAAGATGTCGACGTTAACTCCAAAAGTAAGCTTACGGCATCAAAATTGGAAACAAGTTAATTTTAATTCCTTTAGGTGGTAATGTTTTCAATGGAAATCGGAGATGCACCAAAGGGAACCATTGGAGCAGTGAATGAAGGTGAAGCCGGACACACAAAACTAGAGGATATGATCAAGGAGTTATCTGGAACTCTAACTAGTATCAAGCACGAACAAGACTACATGCACGTAAGACCTACCAACACAGGCTATCTTTAGGATAACGAGATTTCACATCTAACGTCATATATTTTAGGTTCGTGATCGAATCCACCGCTCGATTAACGAAAGCACAAACTCGCGGGTCGTGATGTGGTCCGTATTTGAAGCCCTCGTGTTAGTAGTAATGACAGTTGGTCAAGTGTACTACCTGAAACGCTTCTTCGAGGTGAAGCGCGTGGTTTAAGATTCACTACTGCATCAAATTTCTGTTTCGGTCCGATTGTGGTGAGATATGATCATTGTAAGTTAGTTTTATTTTTTGTCTTATGAATATCAAAATGATGTCATCCTTCCGGTGTTATTCGTTCTCATTTTGAACATTTTATTTACAACTACATTGTAAGTATGTCATCGAAATCAATGCCGAAACATCCTTGCTTCTTCTGTCGTTTACCAGTTCTAGATTGTTGGAGATAGTGCTGCTTCCATGTGAGAGGCCGAGATCAATCCCAAAGGTAGCGCGAGCACCTATGAATCCCTCCTGGTATTGCCCCACGAATTATCTTGCAAATGGTGACAGGCGGCGGTTTAGAATTTGTGGGCGGCGCTCAGCAGTGTGATCGTGCGATTGTTAGTTGTCGCCCTTTTTGTAGATTGAACATACGACACCTTCCATCCACTCCTCCGATAGTATCTCCTCCTTCTAAATCTTATCAAGTAACCAGTGCAGCGCTCTAGCCAGTGCTCCGTATTTTAATAGCTCACTTGAAAGTTGGTCAACACCAGCTATTTTGTTATACCGGCCTACCAATCTTTTTGTCGTAATACCTTTGTTTTCTGCTGCATCACCGTTGAGGTGCTCGTCATAGTTCTGCTTCCACCTCTCAATCACCTGAACTCGTTGCGTGAACTATTTAATTTCTCGTAGAACTTCCATGTGTCGTTTAAGCGGTGACGCTGTTCCATCGCCTCGAGATCTCGGTCTTCCTACGGGCGCTTCTTGCTTCGAAAAACCTATTTTTGTCTGTTTCGGTATCGCTCTATATTCAATTTCGTGTGGTGCTACAGCATCCCCGCCTGAATTCGCCGTCAAACCAGTAATTTCTTAGGTCCGGGGTCGCAGTGCCTAGCGCCGTTGCAGCAGTACTACCTATGGCGGAATGGACGAGCCTCCAGCCATATTCAAGAGTAAGTGCGCGAAGCTGCTCTTACGTGGGTATTGCAGCTTTCAGCTGCTGCGTGTAATCCTGGGTAACTTCGGCGTCCCGTAATTGGTCAATGTTGGGTCGTGGCGTTCGACTTCGATGGGTGTTATACACCGTCGAGAGTTTTGAGAGCATGCATACTGCAACTAAGTACTGTTCCGAATTCATGAGGTACTCAGGACCACGTTGGCCAGAGAAGCAAAACTTGAACCTACATCCTCACGTGACTCATCGAACTACATGGAACATTGGTTACCATATTAAGTACTCAGGACCACACTGGTCATAACGGGTGTTCAATAAAAAAAAACTACAAGGGACAGCCCATTGGGGTTGTACGCAATGATGACGTAGGACTTCGTGGTATGATATAATAAATATTTTTGTTAACTGCAGCAGGCACTTGTGTTTTGTGTAGGAATAGGAATTTTAGCGGGGTTCTCTCTGTTTATACTCTTTAGTATGACTATGATTGCCCTGAAAAGAACCTTTTGATATGAATTTTAGTTGGGACATGTTCAGAAAATTAACTCTTTTGGAAAATGCTGGTGACCCTGAAAAGGACCGATGGTAGTACCTCGGGTAGTACAGGCTTTGGAAGAAGATGATGACGTGTAGGCAGCTGCGTATTCAGTGACGGCATCACGGATCACATTTTCTCGGCACACCTCGGGTTTCCTCGTACATCAGACCGGAGATGAGCTTGACACCACCACGTCGAGCCAGACGACAAATGGCAGGCCCTGCATGTTATCACACGATGACACTTGACGTATCTTTTACCAAATCCTTTACCACCCTTTTCACGGCCAGTCATGCCTTCTGCACAGAAAAAAATTCTGAATTTTATTGCTGATTGCATCTGAAACTGGACTGCCCCAAAAATGCAAAAAGTGTGATAAAAGTGCACCTTTGCGTCAAATCGTTTTGGTGTCTTCGGAGCACTTATTGCTTGCATAATGGGATACGTTAATCGTTTGCCTGGGACCAATAGGCTAGTCGAGTAGTGAGCCAATTTAAAATCGTTAGTTTCGTATTGATTGTTGGTTATATCACAGACAAACAGACGTAACTCTTCATTGTGTATCTTCGTGCACGCATTTAACGGTTGATTTGAATATTATGAGTTCCGCGAACTACTCGCCGCAGCGCTGGCATCGGATCACTTTGAAGTTTTTTTTTATACATTCTATAGAACTTTAATGCAATATTGTTTGCGAGTTGGCGAACAAGCTTGTTTTCCGCGAGAAGCCCGAGAGATGTCGTTACTGAGGTTCTATGTTTTGAGATACTATGTTTTCAAGGATAACTTTTTCAAAGAGTTACGTCTGTTTGTCTGTGGTTATATCATGTCGATATAAGCATTAACATCCCTAATAAAATTGTTATGGTTATTTGGTTAACGACGTATTCCGGGTATCATCTAAACCATTTGTGGAATAGTTCTATTATTTGGGTTATTGTTCGCAGTTCGCGGAACTGATAATATTCAAATCAACCGTTAAATGCGTGAACGAAGATACACAATGAAGAGTTACGTCGGTTTGTCTGTGGTAGTAGCATAGAGGTATGTAACTCTAAGACAAGTAGGTCCCGAAGAAACGTGCTCAACTTTTTGGCTCACCTCTGGTACTATCTTCGGTCCCAAGCTAATCGATGGACCCCTCGAAACATACGAAAAACCAATAACCCCTCATTTTATCTGTCAAACTTTCATAGCGAATCAAAACAAACATTGCATAGTACTAGAATTTCGACTAGAATGGGGTACGTTCATAGAGGTAACTCTAAGACCACTGGGTCTCGAAGAAAATCATTATTATTTTTGGCTCACTCAGTACCAGAACAACGGTCCCAAGCAGTCCCAAGCTATTTCGCTCACCCCTGCATGTTCTGCATGAATCCACACACCCCTGATGTTATCTGTCAAACTTTCATAGCGAATCAAAACAAACATAGTGTAGTAATAGAATTTCAACTAGAATAGGGTACGTTAATCGTTTGCTAGGAACCAATAGGCTACTAAAGTGGTGAGCCAATTTAGTATCGTTAGTTTCGTATTGATTGTTGGTACGTTAATCGTTTGCTTGGGACCAATAGGCTAGTCAAGTAGTGAGCCAATTTAAAATCGTTAGTTTCGTATTGATTAGTGAGCAGTTTCACTAATACATGCGTTTTACTGGTTGAAAATAAAAAAAACAAACCACTGTCAAGTCGAACACTTTGACAGCTGATTTCGTGGTTGAAAATAATAAACAAATCGATTTTACACGGCTACACTACCTAGGTTGTATTAGTGAGATCTTGCGTCGAGAAGTCAATACATTCTTATGTGTTTCTTAGTATATTATCATGTTGGTGTACGTGGATTCAAAGAGTAAATGGTATTAACATTGAGCTGTCCATAGTTGGACGTTGTTGAACTTGTGGTACTTACACAACATTTCTTTCTTGGTTCACCATAAGTGTACCTCGCAGAACTTTTTTAACCCCCATGGGATGGATCGCTCTCTTGGAACTTTTTCGTAACCTTTAAATATAGAATGCCAACGTTAAATCCAATTGAATTTTTGGTTAACCCATGGTAAAATAGATAGTTTAGTGTTATGAATCTCCCTATCAAAACTCAAAATATCCGCACACTCAAAAAATACTACACGCCATCATCATGTGTCTCACACTTAATTTTGCGCTTATTGTGAAACACATCCATTTCATGTGTGACTCTTATGCTATGAATCATGCCTGAACACTATGGATTTGAATTGTGACACACTTGGATTCTATGTGCCTCATATGGTTATATCAATAGCTTTGCACATCATAGTTCAATATTCTACTTTGTCGACTTCTACTTTACCGACTCTAAAATGAATCGAAAAATACATAAACAAAACTTCCAGAGGCCAGAGCTTTCACATATATTTTGACGTAGGACTACGTCTTTGATTTCTATATGGGGGTACACTCTGTGAAAACCGAAAATGGAACATGTAACAAATTAAGAAAGATTTTGAACGTTAATAACTCAGCTGCCCCTTTTCCAATTTCAATCATTTTATCACCAATCGATCAGAAATATGGCTACGCATCGATAACAATGATTCCAATGTTAATTTTCAACAAGAAACTATTGAAAAACTGGTAAATGTCCAGCGTTGTCCAACAGCGTCGAATTAACTAACAAATCCACCACTTACCTACATGCATATGCTGCTTCCCCAGCACAGTCGTCAGAGAGTAGTAAGTAGACGAAACAAGTCGAAGTGGCATTCGCCTCCGATCCTCGGGCGCGTGCGTATAGGGAGGATGGAATTGCGTAATATTTTGCACACTCATCGCTATACTCAGAACCACACGCTCCCAACGACCACACCACTGTGTGGTGGTGTTCGATCGTCGAAATTAGTAGCAGCAGTAGTAGCAGTAGCAGTGCTTTCGACGTGTGGCGTTGAAAATTGTTCTCCAGTAACAACGAAAGGCTGCCTGCAAGCAGCGAGCTGCAGATCCCAGCAACCATCAAAAGAGGAAGAAGCTGCACTACTATGCTATGGATCGGAATCAGTAGCTCTTCGTGAGTCGCTGCGGGTCAGTCATCTATGCCAAGCGTGTCACCCTCGCTCCAAACGACATTCAGCTCGACAGCCTCATCCGTGTTGAACACCCAGCTCAGAATTACTCAACCATCACTACAAAACGGTCCCTTTCAGGGCCGCCAAAAATTTGTTAAAGAGTATTATTTGGACATTGGTCAAGGTCATCAGTTCCCGCAAGCAGCTAGCTATAAAGGCTCAACCTGGCTATAGAAGGTTTGGAATTGTAGGCCTGAATATATTGGTGCAATTAGTTTTTCATCGGCTTTTATTCCGCACGATTCGTTTCTTTCGTTTAATCAATCACCCTTGTAGTGACGTCGAAAAGATTGTTTCAATCGGCGCTTACATATGAAATTTAGTGTGGATTATAGAATTTTATGTATGTTACCAAAATTTATGAATGGTTTGCCACTAAATGTTGCGATAATTTATTGATTATTGAATTATCACACTGTATACTATGAAAAAGCAGCCTGTTTGTGAGTTTTTGTCTGTTTTCAAGTAAGGAGTTATCATAAAAAACAAATCGCCAGCTTG